CTCTATCCTGGCTGAAACCAGGACACCAGTGTAGTAGGTGGGCTCGTTCTTCTTATTCTTATTCTCCTCACCTGAAAATGGAAAGCTCCTTCCGTTCTAGCTGAAGTGCAGGACTGAAACATTTGCCTTGTCCCAAATAAACATACCACAGTGAAATTTTATTTTGTATTTACTTCTGAATCCGATATGATCATGCATTTTAAGATGATCTTCTGTGGTTAATGATTCTGGACACAGTGCGTGGAATGTTTAAAGCATATGGATAACTCTAAACATGTGAGTATCGTCACACTGTATTCAAAGACAGCATGCATCATATTAAATACAGCAGTAAGTGAGATCTTTTTACGTGCATTTATGTAGCTGAAGTAACATACTGATGGACAGTTTTCTCACTAATGTTAACATATTGGGAGGCAGATATTCTGCTGCTGTCTTAATAGTTCAAATGTTTGTTTTCTACATAAATATGAAGAAAGAAGGATTATGTTGTCATCTTCTGAATCAAAATACAATTAATTGATTTCATCATAGAAACACAAAGTCTGTGTGCCTAAATTAGTGTAAATGATACAAATTAAATGAGATAATTAAAATTGCACTATTTAAAAAACTTGAAGGTTGTGATGAGGCTATATAGCTGTTAGTATTGTTTTAATGTGACATCATGTGTGTCCCTGCAGTATATGCTTTGTAGTTACGTCTTTTACTGTCAGGAATAAAGGTTGAGCATCCCTCCTGCAGCACTGGAGACAAAAAAACTGATGCAGCACAAAAAACCACATGAATGATTATAGTTGCAGATAAAATATTGTATCATGTTTGTGGTCAAGAGTTGATCAGTACATGAGATCACATTCACAAGAGCTAAACTCATACTTGACCATGTGCATTGATTTGTTGATTGAGGTCCAAACAAGACATTGACAGTGTTTTCTGTTTGCAGATCCCTTGGAGGAGATAGCAGAATCTTCTCCACAAACAGCTGCAAACTCGGCAGCGGAGCTTCTCAAACAGGGTGCAGGTATGTTAACTTTTTTCCTTGCATTTGATTGTCACCAAATTTTGTATCTTACAGGCTAGGAGAAGCTGAAACATAAACTGGACTGAAGGATGTTTAAAGGGACCAGTTAAATTTAGGGTGCTGTGTAGAAGTGCAGAGGGCACTGTGAGGACATGTACCAAGTTCTTTCTGTTTCCTCTAACCAGCTCCTAAGTTTTACAACCCTGTGTTTGCTTTCCAGTCTTCTCTCCCATGAGAATATGAGGTACACATAGGCTGGTTCAAGCACAGCAATTTTTAAGCGATGACATTGCTTTCATAATTGATGAACTTAGAAAAGATATTTTCAGCCTGTGTTGCAGAGGCTCATGAACTATGTCTGAGGTCTGCAAAAGGCAACTAAGGAAAGTGTTCAGTAGGGTTAAATTCTCAGCATAGGAGTCAACAGTGCCACTGGAAAACGCTTACTGTCACATCAATCTGAAAAAAAAAATTAAAAAACATTGCTTGTGCTTCACTTGATGCTGCATGTTGTTAGGAAACATCTCTTTTATTGGATGCTGTTTTATAGATTCTCATGCATACTGCAGCACCCAGTCTGGCAAGTTAAGTTGTCTTACCATGAGCTTATTGATGTGACAGAAGAACCCTGGCAAGATAACCTCCAATGATGTGATTGGTATGGTCTGTATCGCTCTCAAGTAGAGGTGTTTGCAGCAGCTGTGTAGAGATGTCCTCTGCTTCTCATCTGTTTTGTTTGTGTGCAGCTGACCCAGAGACAGCTAGTGAAATAGCCTGTCTGAGAAAGTGTGGGGGCATCCTAACCTACCATTATTGGACATGGTGCTTTGAATACCCCTTCATAATCTTAAAGCTGTCCTTAGTAGAAATGCAGCCACTATGTTATTCCCCTGTACTGTGGGCATGCCTGAGGGATACCCTCTCCACCTTCCCATGGTCTCTCATTTTCAGGCTGCTCTGAATTCTCCCCAGCATCTATCTGTCCACCCAAGTAGTCCCATTAGAGTAGGAGACTACGCTACATTTGCCACTCTCCTTTGAATTTAGCCTACTACTGGAGCCACAAGCAAAAGTGTTGTGGTCAAGCATGCCTTTGTAAGAATGCTGCCTCATTGCCCTCACCCATTTTAGGGCACTTCTGAAGGGGGCAGTTGCAAAGCTGGGCAGCTCTGGAGAGAGAGCGTTGCTCCTTGCTTGTGCAGCAATCTGCTTTGACTTAAAAATTTGAAGTACCACTTTGAGTGCTGTAACCAAGCAGCAATGTGTTGCTGAGGCAATGGCAAGCCTTTGCGAGGCTGTGGCAGGAGTGAGCACATGTTGGCCTTTCTGTCTGCCAGTGCTGGTGGTGTTTGTTGTGGCCAACGGGGAAAAAAACAAGGAGGATGAATTTTTGTATAGCTTTCCTTCTTGAAAAACCTGGCAAAAGGGCTATTTGTTGTCTTTTGAGAAATACTGGTTTCTCCTTGCCCAGGGAATGCTTTTCAAAGAAAAAGAAAGAATTCTTACTTTGGTTGGCACAGCAGTCAGGTAACTCCTTATGGGAGCTGTGACATCATGGAATATTTGGGGAACTTTGTACATTTGTTTTTTCCCTGTTTTGTTGTTGCTTTTGTTTTTAAACAAGGGTTTGGAGCTGAGCAGATAAATTAGCTAGGGATGATTCTCAGAATTTTTTTGCCCCGATACATCATTTCCCACTTACTTTCCATGGTTCAGAGCTCCCTCTCCAGTCATAGAAACATTCAAGTTGTGGAGTTCAACATTGAAGGGCAGACCTGAAACATGTGAATTGTTTCTTTTCCAATATCTGAGCTTGTGTGAGCACCTGCAGTTTAGTTAGAGCAGATGCACTTTTTCCCTGCCCTGTTTTACCCCACCCTTCTCCCACTCCACACACAAGAAAACAAAGATGTGTTTTCCTAGCATGATTAATTTTTATAGCTGTCTGAAAAACCTAATGAGCATTTCCAGTCATTATCTAAATGCAGAAGCTGACCAGAAATCTTCTGCTTCCTAGAGAGTGACAACTCAAGACTAGAAACTATACAGATAAGTGGTGTTTCCTGGAACAGACCTTGCTTTATTAAACTTCCTGTTCAGCAGCAAAATTATCTGCCCTAAATAAATCCCAGTTCTTCATACCTGTTTCCACTAATACAGTCAAGGGACTAAGCATTCTGAACAATGCACATTGCCAGTCTAAAAGCAGCAGGGGTTACTTGAAGTGGCCACATTGTGTAGCTGTTGGTGGTACCATGGATGTGACTACAAAATGCCACCTGTGGAATATGAGAGCAGCAGCTTTGTAGGGCAGCTGCATTGCACAAAAGACACAGATGTCTTCCTTTTGTTTTAGCCTTGAGTATGGTTTCTGTGGGATTGCTGTCATTCAATACCCCATCAAACCATGCATGATGTTCTTAAATGAGAAATCTTTCAGCCTTTCTCATTACCTTTCCTTTCCTGTAATCTCCTTTTTAAGCTGATGTTTTTGCACTTTACAACACTTTTGAAAAAGGTTACATACAGAAGTAAAGGAACCTACTGTGTTTGGTGACTGCTTTTGAACTATTACACAGAGGGCAATCTAGACAAAATGCTTGGCTATTTCATGTAGAAACAAAACCTGAACATGGTCTGTTGACACCAATGCGATGTGTGGCAGAAGAGGAAGGGAAACTCTTCATTGGAGTGTCAGAAGTGGTGAAGAGTGTGACTGTGAAACAAGGCAAGCTTCCTGTGGTGGGAAAGGCTCACGGGATCATGAAGAGCTTTAGAGCTGTACCAAATGTACACAGTAATGACGTGAGAAGAGGAGTGTTTATGGTTTGGAATGTTATTTACAATTTTGGATAGACATGACAGAAAGCTGTTCAGTGAGGAAGGCCTCATTGAACTTGCCATTCATCGCCTTAAATCTCTCTGCATGAATTGTATCGTAATTGATTCAAACAAAGGTTATTGAAACTATCACACCAATGTGCAAATATATTTGGGAAATTTTACACTTCAAATAAATGAAATCTCTGGATCCCTCTGTTCACTGACAGACTTCAGAGCTTGAAGTTACTGGGCTGATCATCATGCTGGAATCAAATTTATGCTTATGCAGTCTTTAACTGTACGATTGCTTGGTTGTTTTGAAAGTGCCAATGTCTAGCTGTGTATTTTATGTAGATGGTCATAGGAGAAAGCTTTAGTCAGATTACAGAATAGCCATATGAAAAAAGAAGCTGTTAGATTTAATTTAATCTTTGCTTTCATAGTAAAGTTGGCAAACCAAACTAAACTCCTAAACAAATGAAATGTTAGCATGGTAATTTGCATATGTCAGCTGCCAGAGTTGTAAATGCTGTTCTGGATACCTACATAAATGTTTTTGCCAAAACACAAAGTCTGTTGGTACCAGTGTTCAGCTGTGGATGTGTTTAATCATTCCT